ATCAGTCATAGAGCCCACTTAGCCAATTCCGGCGACGGAGTCGCTGCCCGGGGCGGCGATCCACCTCGGATCGACTGTTTTCGGCCATTTTCTGCCGAATTCAGCCGATTCTGCATCGATCCCTATGAGAAAACAAGTTAAAGGGCCTTGGTTGGCTAAAAAAATATAAAAAATCGAAACTCATCGGCGTCGGGGCTCTCCGATGCGGCGGCTCTTCCGGCTTACGTTGTGGTTGGGTGTTTTGCTCCAGTACTCTTGTAGAGAAGAACACGATGATTACAACGGTGAAAAAATTACATAGAACGAGAATTGGGAAGGACCTTATCGGAGGCGTTTTGTGAAATTTCTCGCGGCAGTACTGCTAGGTTTTGCCTGCTTTTTTCGGCCAATTGGCTGCTACTTTTGCTCCAATTTGGCTATAGGTGTGTTTAGAATTGAATTCCAAGGAAAAGGAGAAATTTTTACCTTTTTTGACGGTCGTAAAGGGCTCCGGTGCAATAGCGGGTGGCAGCGGTCTCCTTCCTGGCGACTAGGTCTTCTTCTCCGGCGATGGGGTCTTGCGGCTAGGATTAGGATTTGGTATGGATGGAGTTTATTTATATCCATCCCCTTTTGATCTAGGCCATCCATCACATTTGATCTGGATCGTCTGATCATAATTAAATAGAGAGTGGATCTAAGCCGTTCATCGCGATCTAATCTAGGGCGTCCATCACGATCTAATATGGACCGTCCTATCGCATTCAAATCTGACCGTCCGATCTCGTTTGGGAAGGGAACGCATATGAGTCGTTTGAGCTCGCGGGAACAGATCTGAGCCGTTCGATCGCGGGCACGCGGATCGCCCGCGTAGTCCCCCCCGCGTGACACTGCATCAGCGTCCGCTGCCACGCAGCACGTCCTGGTTCGTCGGAGCTGCTGACCTCCAACGTGGGATAACTTTCTTAAATTGTAATTTGACCGTCGATTTCTGATTTTTCTTTCAAACATACCCCCATAACCCAATTTTTCACCCACTTTCCCCAAAATTATTTTCAATTTCATCATCCTTCAATTTTTACTTCATTTTTACTCTAAATTAAATTAGAAAAAATTAAAAAATTATATTTATTAATTTTAAATTACATTAAAATCCTATTTTGGGATGTTACATACATATTAGTGTACTATATATAGATATTTACTAAATTAAGTACGAAACTCATGAATGTGAGTATCAATGAAGTATATCACAAGTGTCCCAAATATGCCATCTTGCAATTAGTAATTAACAACTTAGTTACTAGCTCTCAACTATTATGACCCCCTTGTACTATGATCCTAATTCCTTTTAAAAATATGTCACACACTTTTTACTACATTATGAATTTATTTATTTATTTAATCACACAGTACATAATGAAATTAATATATTACATTTGGTTATTCATAATAATAAATATTTACATCAATCAATTGTAAAGCTGTTACATAATTATATCAAATTATTGCATTTGACGATTGATTTAATGACGTATCACTAATAGTTCATACTAGAACTCATTTTTCTTTTCTATTTCATGAAGATAGTTAGAGATTGCTTGCATAATGACATATATTTTTATCCTAAAAATTCTTTAATTTATGGTAAATTTTTTTTGCTGATTTATCAAATTATTAAATATTTTTTAATTATAAAATTTGTAGGTTTATAATTGGCCATCACCATAATATAAGTTAAGATCTCAGTAGAGGTTTTTTTTTTTTTTAACAAAGGAGGAAAATGAAAACAAAAATT